ATGTGTCTGCTGGTGAGAGACACACAGAGGAGCCCCCAGGGAGACGATCGTGTGACAGTCCTTCCTCCTCCGCTTCTCCCTCCTCTCCAGATCTTGCCCCCTGCCCCACGCCCAGCAGTGGAGTCCAGGACTCGAACTGTGCAGTCAGCCACGTAGGGTCCAGCTCCTTAATGACCACACCCCTGGCTGGCCCCAATTTTCCCTTTTGGAGTGAAATTATTAGGTGATAGATTCCTGTCATAAGTTAAAATTCCCTTCTTTTCTCTTTCTTCCTCCCCCCACCCCCCAGGTCTTTGCCTTAGGCCATGTGTGCTGGGGGGGGAGGCAGAGAAACAGTGAGAGGGGGAGTGAGCAGTCACCCCCGGGTGGGGACGACCGTGTGGCCATGTGAGCACAGGCTCTTTTCCTCCATTCTCCTCTGGGGTCTTGGGCACACATGCACTCATGCCCAGCCTGATTTTCACGCTACCGGGCCCAGGACTCAAACTGCCGTTGGCCACATTGGAATCCAGTGACGTAGCCACGTTGCCATCTGCTGGTTCTGCCCTCTTTTTTCAAAGTTTTACTTTTTATTTATTTTAAACATTGACAGACAAAAATTGTACATAGAGTACCTTTTCTAAAGTACGACACACCCACATTCTTGTCATGGGTCCAGGCCACACCTGTAGGTCATGGAACAGAACGGAAGGGCCCAGACCGGAGGGTGCCCGTCGGCCCGTCAGTGCTGTCAGAGCAGTGCTAGGTCACGGTGGGGGGACGCCGGCTGCTCCCCTCGAGCCGCCGGCGTCCCCCCTGGAGCCGCTCTGCACGCCCTTTCTGGAGCAGGCCGGACGGGGGACTGCCTTACGACTCTCACTCACTCCCCATCTCCAGTCGGGGCCGAGATCTGTTTCTCACCGGTGATTTGCCATTTGATGTTTGAGTGATTCTCTCACATTTGCTACTAAATTAAAATGTCATTTATCCGAATGGACATATTTACGGTTACATGATCATCTTACGAAGAGGTTCAGTAGGGTGGCCTAGAAGGGCCTGTCTCAGTCTGTCTTAAATAAAGCTCGGAATGCCGTAGATACTGCAGAGAAGCGTATCTTACGGAAAATTGTTTTTTCTATACCACTTATTGACAGCAGGTTGTTAAATTGTAGACTTCACGTGTAGGG